GGCACGTGTGCATGCATGCCCAAAATCCCAAGGGGAAAATGGAGAAGGGATTGTGGCATGTCCATTACCCCAGAGGTGATTTCTCACTTTTTGCATTTCTATGTCTCTGGTAAGCGCATGCACCGTATAGCAAAAATCTCCCAAAAAAAGAACATTTGTATCAATAATGTATTTATATAAATTTAGCCTTAAAGAAGATTTAGCATTGCTTTGTTGACTTTATTTTCCCTGTCAATTAGTATGTCATATATGCCTAATCAGTTGACATCTCTGTAAAGCAAGAGAGACATCCTCCGAGGTTTTTCTAGGGACCTGGCTAGAGAATCCCAAAGTTGACAATTAGGTAAAAAATTTGAAATTTTGATTTGGAGAAACCTGCCAAAGATGTTAGAAAACTTAGAACATTTGGGGACCAGCAGATGGTATAATGGTTACGACCCTGGACTCCCACATGGCCGACCGCGGTTTGAGTCCTGCACCTGGAGGCTTGAAACACATGCTGGGCGCATGTGCATGTGTGTCCAAGATCCTGAGAGGAAAATGGAGGGGAAGGGATTGTGGCATGGCCATCCACCTGGGGAGATGATTTCTCTCTTTCTGTCTCTTTCTGTTTCTGTTGAGCGCACCTTGTAGCAAAATCTTTTTATTTTGATATACAAAACAAAAACTTAGAACGTTTGATCAAAACAGGATCACAGGTCATTGAGAAACAAATCATTTATAGCGAAAGTGATAATCAAGACTTTAATACCAAGTAAAGAAAGTTAAATAGATTTAAAAAAAACAAAAAACTTCTTTAAAGTGTAGTTTTCTTTTTATAGAGAGAGATTTTTGCTCTAGGGGCCTTGTGTTCACCACAAGGGCAGAAATTGAGAAATCACCCCCTGGGGGGATGGGCATGCCACAATCCTTTCTCCTCCATTCTCCTCTTGGGGTCTTGGACACGCATTCACACGCCCAGTGTGAGTTTGAAGCTGCCGAGTATGGGATTTGAACCACAGTCGACCATGTGGGAGTCCGGGGATGTAACCATTATGCCATCTGCTGGTTCACAAAGCAGTTTTCTTAAATAATCTCAAACCTAATAATCTTAGCAAGCATATAAACTATTGTTTTTCTTTTCAGAGCAGTTCCCAAAAGGAAAACCCTCTTGCAGTACGATTGTTGTTTG